TGCTTATAACAGATGTTTGGTTTTGGCAGAGCAGCACGTTCTTCTCTACAGCCCAACTGTGTCTCCTGTGAACAGGATTTCTGGTTGTAGAGAAATTGGGGTGTGGGGTGGTAGCTCCTGTGAGTGAGAACCCAGCAGCAGCACTCTCACCAGTTGTCGCTGCTCTGCTGATGTTATAGCTGGGGTTGACAAACCTGATATTTGCTAAGGAGTCTCAAGCTATTAAGAATGTACTCCATATACCATACTCTATTCCTTAGTAGAGGCATGGGTATTAGGCAAGGTGCCAATGTGCCTGTCTCCACTCAGTGATGTTTTTGTGATAAAGGTATAGAGGACAAAAGCAGGGGTTAATGCTCTGATCGGCTAAGGGCTGTAGATCAGCAGTATTTTGTATCTTCAGCAGTATCTTTGTAACTATCTTCCTGTTCTTCCTTTCTCATTATTCTGGTTAATAGTCACTTGTCAGACTAAGTTCCCCAGAATATAAATGCCTGAAGTAGAGGAAGGCAGAAGAAAACACTTAAGACTTCGAAGTGGAGGTGACTTCTGTTGCTCTTTGAGCTCAGACTGATTTTGGCAGGAGCGAAATGAAGAGAAGGCTTGCCCTAGAAAAATGCAATGCAGCTGCCAGCCCCTGTAATTAGCCAAAAGGCCTGTGGAGTGTAGAAGGAGGTCAGAACATGGCTCCTGCCACAGGGCTGCTCAATCCTGGATACTGCCAGCAGGAATGTAAAGCCTCGTCAAGGCCTGCACATTGCTGCTAATCACATGGAAAGGCCAGAACCCTTCTGGGACTAATGAGTCTGCTTATGGACAGGATGCACCATGCAGAGGCTGAGCAAACATCCTCTTTAGCATGATGTTATAAAGTCTTTGGAGCAGGAAATGTTTAATTGCTTGTCTATGTGCAGAGGACAGATTCTGTCCTTACTAAGTGCCTCCAAGCGTGTTTGGAGGTAATAATTATTCAGAATAAGCTACAACCTTGATCCTGGATAGCAAGTGAACTTCTGAAATGTACGATAGTGGAATTAATTGCTTGTTTTTGTGCAGTATAATTGCAGAGGAAAGGATTGCAGGCAAGATTTCTCTAGCAACCTTTGGGTCAGTCACTCTATTACAGCTTTTTATACATAAATTCCAGACCTGCCAACAGCATATGTGCAAAATATTTTCTGCTGATAATGGAAATTCAACATGTTTTCTTATGAAGACTTTTATTTTTTTTTTTTTTTAGTATTTTTCATACTCTTTCTCTTTTGTCATCTAAGGAAGGTAATCAAGGAAGCAGACAACAAAAAACATGTTTGTCAGGCTTTGTACTACAAATACTTCTTTCTTCTTGATATTTAAAAGGAAAACCACATTTACTTTTTCCTAAAGCAACACATCCATTGATACAGGCTGGGTTAGGGATGTCGAGATCAAGTACGTGACTCTCCGGAGTCATGCAGCGATGGGTGCGGCCTTGATAACAGAGGCTATATATTAAGAGAACAAAACAAAAACCTTCCCACAGCAGGATTCCTTATTTCTTTCCTCAGTGGGTAGCAGCACAGCAGTCTGTATGCTCCCAGCAAAACTGGATTCAGAACTAGTCCAGGTCCAAGTTTTAGCCCTTTTTAGACATTAATATTTTCTCTATAAAGATAAAAGTCAAGCTAGCATGCAGGTAATAGAGAAGGTATGTCAGCCTGCTTTTCTTGAGCTGTAGAACGGAGGCACCTTGATAACAGTTCCACAGACTTTATTTCCTCCATCCCTGTGAGCTGTTCAAGCAATGGGGAAGTTTGATTATTCCAAACCAGCTTGACTTGGGGAATTTTTCATTTTCTCATTAGCTGATGGACTTGCACACAGTGGGGAATTAGAACTTAAAAATAGTGATGCTCCTTGAGGGGTTTTTCCCATTTTCTGTGTTGTATTTCAGAAGCATTTTGGGTAACCTATCTAACTCATGAGTGCCACTGAGTATTTTATTTCTCTGTGCATGAATGAATTTCATGTTCATGATGCCTCAGTGAGGCAGCTGAGAAGGAAAAAAAAAAAAAAAAAAGCATGCAGGAGAAGATGCAAAAGTGTAATAATCTGAATTAAGATAATCCCTGTGCAGAATATTATGGCTTTAGAATATTTTTGTTGACATTTATTAAACTGTATGGGCTATGATATGGATTACTGTTGGTTTTGGAAATAGTCTTCTTTCACTCATTTCAAAGTGTCTCTGGAAGAACCTTCAACATTTTTTCCTTGTCTTCACAACTTTGCTGTGATATCTGACAGGGATGCCGGATGGCCCAATGAGATAAATGTCAAACAAGTAAAGTGTCCCTGCATCCAGCCCTTTGATAGTCTCTGTGGTGACAGCTCGCTGGAGATTTATGTCATAGAAATACTTGCACAGCACTTTCTCTGACTTGTGCCGAGATTCAGGTCCAGAGCACGTGTCTGTATTTCTCAGTTCCATCCATACTTGATCTTCTTCAATTCTTTTCTTGTACACACAGTACTTGCTCTGCTCTTGTGTTCCTAGCCAGGCAATGGTGACAGAGTTGCAAGTCCTCAGTTTACTGAAAGACTTGATTTTTAAGCTCTCTGGAAGAAGTGGGAATAGGAGCTTGTGGAAATGGGGGGAGACCTGCACTTTCACAGAAGAGTTGGATTCCTCTGTGGACCTTAGCTGCACCACGTACATGTCCAATGGCTTTCCCTTCAGTGACAAATACCTCAATCCCAGAATGTTTTCTGATGCCACTATTTTACCATTTTTTGTTATGTGAACCTGTACTTGACCACGGCACAACTGAAAGGCAAATTGTACTTTCTTGTGCCTCGCTTGGTACTGCAAACTATACAATTTTTGTTTTTTCCCATCCAGTACAACCTGAACTGTCTTCCCATCTTTAAGCTTCATCACTTTAGGTTCAGGTTCTTCTAGAGTTCTTGCAAATGTCCCAGTGTAAGCAGCACTGGCATTTGTGAGAAGATTAACAACAAAGACATCAAAATAGTATTGAGTGCTGGGACTGAGATCGGGCACTGTATAGGTGTTCTTGGTACCCATACATATCTGCCTGACTTCTCCACTGCTCACTTTGTTGATGATGCTAAGTTCACTGTCTGATAATATCATTACCTGCTGTGGTTCAAGAAGGTTTGGAGAGAGAGACAAAGCTAACGTTGGTGGCATTTTCATCCCAGAGAATCTGATTGCTGTCTCAGCAGCACACAAGCTCTTATAATTGTGCTTTTCATTAACTAGAAGACAGTACTGGATGCTTTCTCTGTGTTGCAAGGCAGAGGGACTGTGTTTCCATGTCAGAGTCACTGTTGTATGGCCAACGCCGATAACATCTATGCGTGGATCCAGTGGAAGTTCTGGATAGAGGTGCCCAGACGTTGTGTCAGTTGTTAAGTACACAGTGATGTGTGTGTCACGCTCGGTGGATAAGAACTCTAGCATATAAAGGGCAGACTGAGAAGACATACCCATGTAAGTCTCTACAGAATTTCCCTTGTAGTTGAAAATGGTGGATATCATGCTTGTAGCCTTCTGGAATTTTGAGATATCTTGTGCATTGAGATCACCTGCAAGAAGAAGCAGAACTGCAACATCTGCTTTAATGTATGTTGAACATTGCTTGGGTTTTGTTGTTCATATGTTAGGGAACATCCTGCTTCCTTCCTCCCTGAAAATAATCATAACTACAAATGCTTTTTGCTACTGGTAATTTATTGAAGTAAAATTTCAGTGACTTTTTAACAGTGCCTATTGTGATTTTCATAAAGGCTATCATTATAAAAACAACTTGCAAAAGTCTTGAACATTATGGTGCCTTATGTGCCTACAGTTTTCATCTCCCATAGGTTTCTCTTTGGACATTTTACTTCAAGGAGATTCATTTTCCATGAAAGGAGTTTTCTTTATATTAGACTTTCGCTGCTTTTTTTCTATGAAGAGAGAAAGCTTACTAATGTAAAGGAATTTTATTTAACTCCTTAGTTGAGTATGCCTGTCTGACAAGAACTTGCTTAGTGGGACCTCTCAAATTTCCGATTTTTTGGGGGGAATTAATTCCAGAAATTATTTAAAATAATGGAATTTCCTCTTAGGCTAAACTTTGCTTAATGCCTACTGTTGTGATAGGTGACATTACTTAAAAAAAAAAAAAAAGGCTGTATCTTCAGCACATCAATTATAAATAATCCAGAAAGTGACTGGTTGAAATGGCTTAAGCCATGGAGAAGGAGCTGAGACAGCTCTTCACTCAGATGGGCTGATTGGAAAGCCTGCTTCGTTTAATGCAGGGAGAAGAGGGATTTTAGACACTGCATGGAGATCAAGGGGTGCAAGCAACATTTTCCAGTGTGAAAATGTTGCTACTATCAGTTTAGATTCTTCACAGGAGACAAATTTGCAGGGAGAAAATTGGATAAGTGCAAAGAGTTTGTGAAGCAATCCATGTTGTTCTTGGATACTTTTGAGTTTTTGACTTGTATAGATGTGATTTTCAATCTACTTTGGCAAAATCCAGTGATCTGCAAATTTCACCTGTGACAAATTCCTCTGATGCCTGTTTATAGAAGGAGCAAGTATGATATTTAAGCCTGTAAAGAACTTTGTGTAACAATACTTCTTGGATAATGTATAATACTTGTAACTTATACTTTCTACAGCTCTTCTCAGGTAGGCTGAAGATCTTACCTTGTGCTGCTTTCCCAAGCAAACGTGCTGAAGCTTTGTGCACAAGTATGCTCCACTCAATGGGGACATCACAAGGGGTCACAGTTATTGTGAAAGGTACAAGGGCCGTGTCTTCTTCCAAAACGAAGTAATACCTGTAGATGTGGATATGAATCCAAGGAGAAACATGAAGAAATTCAGGTCTGTTTGACATTCACAGGAAGTGTACCTTTCTTGATGTGGACATTTCAGTGTGGATAGAAATGACTGCTCACTTTTGAGATGCATCAGTGCAACAAAATAAGGAATGTCTGGAACTTCCACCTGCAGGAAGAACATGTATTGTTCTTTTTTCTAATCCATCAGTTGTTCCTGGAGGTTTTGTCCACTTAGCACAGGCAGTATTTTTCCCTGGTGGATTTCAGTATATTTCAGGTGAATATTGCATCTCAGTACTTACGTGCTTATTTTGGATGATGAATGTGGTAAGCTAATTACCTTCTAGATAACCACTTGTTGGCTAACTCTTGGGTACATTTTTTTTCCCCTAGAATTTCCTGACTGGAGTTCCACAGTGACTCCCAGAGAGCACGCTCTCTCTTACCTTCTTGCATGTTTCGGTCTCCATCTGTGTAAGATGAAAATACAATGATTCTGATCAACCCTGAAGATTGTCTGTCACTGGCAATTTCAGGTAACTCTGTTCTAAGCAGTTTGCTTGGATGACAAAAGCTGTGGTGTGTTAGTAGTACAAGGGAGCATCAATCTACTCAGTAAATCTTTTATTCTTATTTACAGTGAAGTCTTGCTTCCTGTACCACCCATTTTCTTTCTGTTGTTTCTGTAAACTGTATACAGCCACAGGAAATGTTTGGATGCTGGTAGCTCACTCTGCAGTTAAATGTGGACAACTTATTTTTGTTTGTTTGTTGAAAAGAAAACCTATTTATTATGAACAGATTACATCAGCATAAAGGTCTGCATTAATTTCAGGGATGTGGCTATTTGTTTGGAGTTGACCTTCACTGGAAGCAGCTTCGCATTCTCAAGTCTTTTATAAGCCAAATCTTTTCATCTTTTGGTTTCCTGTCTGTGTGGTTCTAGGCTTCCTAAGGTTCTTACTTGATCATGTGAAACTGAAGGGTTTTGTTTTGTTTGTTTGCCTGCTAATAGGAATTTTCCTATTTATGTCACAGAACAGTGAAATGTTCTGTTCTTTTAGATCTAAATGCCTATTTTCCTTTAAAAGGAAGAGCTAGTTTTGCTTTTTTCTTCTTTGTAAGCATGTCACATTATATAATATGCCATGTTTCAGTTTCTACGCAATGAGTGTTGAGAGAACAGAAGTTGTGAAGCAGGGGATGAACCAGATGGCTCAATATTCGTCAAAAACTGTATGTGCTGTTCCACTGGTCAAAGGATTCTGATTAAAACACCTGAAGTTCATCTCTTCCTGAGCAGGCTAATTAGTTTGCCTTTCCTGTTTGAGATTATCAGCTGTAATATCTACATTGTGTGTATGTTCAGATATGGTGGAAAACTGCAAGTATTTTGAGGATACGAAGAAATTAACTTCCACATGACACTCATATTTGATCTTAACAGGCTTATAGTATTGTTCAACTAAGACATCTCTAGTATGCAGGATGCTAATAGATGCTTTATTATAAGAGAATTCTGCATGCATTTTACTGATTTTGGGGTCACTATTGTGCTAGATAAAATTCTTGTCTTTTACAGTTGCTGTGGGGAGGCTGATGTTTCTGTGGTTCAGAAGCCAGACTGATTATGCAGCAACTGATTGCTGTTGGAACCTGCCAGTTCTGTAACAATCACAGAAAGCTGCCTAGAGAGAGGGGGGGTCATTCTAGATTCTGGGCAAAACAACAGTGTACACTGGAAGGCACCTGTACTTCACTGGTGTGTCAGTAAAGTCAGTAGACATGTCAGAGCTATGCAGGCACACAGCAGTTCGTGACTTGGATTGTTAGCGTGTGGCTGCTGGTGTTGCAGGAAAGTACATGAGAAAAGAATTGACTTTGTGGCTGATCTGTGCTTACCTTTTAGGGATATCCTTCAGCAGATGAACTGTAGTTTCCTTACCATCAGCAAGAATCAGGGAATGGTAGAAGCTGAAGAGACCACTCTCGAAGCTCTGTTGGGAACTGGTAGTGGGTGCTTTAAGGGAATGACACAGGCAAGCAGCCGTGAGAAGGCAGAGAGGCAGATAAAACCAGACACAGGACATCTTCAGTACTGTGAAGAGAAGTGGAGGTTGTTTTAAAGGGGAAAATGATCAATGATGCTCCTTTTATTCCTCTAGTGATATTTACTGTTACAGCAAGCCAAGCATTTGAGCAACAGTCTTCAGATGGCTAAATTGCTTATAATTCAGAAATATTTTAAACTCTGCAAAGATTTAATGGCGAAGCTGCTGTAAAGTCTTTAACTGTAAAATTACACATATGCAGTTAATGTGGCAAGGTGCAATATCAGCCAGAGAATAGCTTCACTACTGACAAAATGAGTGGAGAATAAAATTATTTTTTTCCCTGCTTATAGAATTCATTTAATTCAAAGCTGAGTTATCCATAACAGAAATGTGACTTCTGAACTTAAAGGGTGTCACTATACTCCAGACATACCTTCTGTCCGAGGTCATCTTATTTTTTTAATTCACACAGATTGTAAATCAGTCATGGCAATAAGGACATGTGAAGAAGAGGATCAAAAGAAGTTACTCAGGGCTGGATGAGATCCTGTTCCATGAAAAGTGTTAGATTCTGATAACCAGCCCTAAACTGGTTCTAAATGGATTGTAAGTTTTTTTTTGTCTATCTACTTTGGAAGATGAATGTTTTACTGTGGGGAAGGTGGACAAATGTAGCTGGATAAATCACTGTGCATTAAACATGTCTTTCATAACTGTGTTGTTTCCAGGCCATTGCTACATCTGCTGCTCACTAGAACCATAACAACTCTATTTTTTTAACCATATCAGGTATCAAAAATCATATATGCCCATCTCCTTTTGCAAAGAGACTTAATTGTCAGCTTCAAACATTTGAAAGAAATCTAAGCTGCTCAAGTATTTCTAGAACTTGCCTACAAAAATGCTGATGCTGCTTGAACAGTTGTGTACATTGTGCTGAACTATGCAGATAGGAGGCTCCAGATGAGAACTTTTGGTAATACACTGTTAACATCAAATTATTAATTATTCGTGTGACTTTCTCCTCTCTGCCACATCCTGCTTCAGAAAAGGAAAATACACAAGTGGAAAAGGTATAAAAGTGAAAAAGGTGCAGACCTTTAAAACAGGTGGCAGTTGTAGTTGAGGATTTGGAAAGCTACGGGAGCTCAGTTTTGTGTTTGTCTTGTTCTTGGTGGGGGGAGAGGTAGTATTTTGTTGTATCTTACCAACAACAAGAAGTAGTAAAGATCCTGGTTTTATCAGATTAACAGCCAGGGATAAAAAGAACATAAAAAGCAGAGCATCAGTCCTTTGTAACATTTGCTTTAGATCAGCCCTTTCCTTGTCACGTTTGCAAATGAGCTTTTGACTTGGACTAAATCAACAACTCAGCTTCTGCCTGGAACAATTCATCTGAGTCCATGAAGGGTCTATTTCAGTTGTAAACCCGTTCAAGATCGTCACATTTAAGCAAAGCAATGAAAGCACTGTAGACTTTCATGTACAAAATCTTCATCAGTGATTCTCAAATTAATGTATATCTTTAGTATTGGTGAGGCTATTACAATGATCACTACTAGAACATTTAAATGCCTTATTTAACATCCTAGTAGGGTTAGACTATTCTTTTCTTTTTTGTCAAAGTCTCTTCAATATTTTTTGCATCTGGCTCAGTGAAAAATTAAACAAATGTCTGAACAAGTTGAAAGAAAATTTGAAAATATTTTTTAATTCTTTAGCAGAGCTTCCCTTATGACTCTGAGGCACTTCTTTGCCACTTGCTTCTTATTCCATTCTAACTATAGCTTAAATAAAACCCCAAATATTTTTCTTTACCTTTGTCGGTGGAATCTGTTTTGCTCTTTGCTTTGGAGAGGATTAAAAAAGTCTGTTTACTGTTTAACTGCCAGGATCTTGCACACCACTCTGATACTATAGCAGCTCAGCTTTTCTTGTCCGGGAAAACAAACCAACCAAGTGACCAACCAACCTATAATCAGCTTATCCCAAGGAGAACAGCATCCTAAATACCGTTTTCGCTCAGTTACACAAACACTGTACACTCAGGCTCTTGGAAATACATTACACAAAAATACTGTTCTTACCTATTGTGTTTCTGGCCAGATGAGCCCCAGTTCACTCAATTTCTTTGCTGAAAAAGCATAAAATGAAACATGGAATTCTCAGATCTCTGTAGACAGATGAAAAACAAAACTGCACAACCAGTTTAACAGGACAGAACTGTTTTTTCCATATGGCTCTTCAATAGGCATCGTAGTTGGATTGCTTGCCGTCTTTCAAGGAAAGAGAAACAGTTTTGATATTTAGGTTAGGATTTTTCAAAGGTTATTTTCAACTTGTGTAATTCTGCAATCTCCAGACCTCTGGCTGCTGCTCTTTCTGTTCTGGAGCTCCTGGGGGACTGTGCACCTTCACCCGTGCTTCACCCGACCCCAGGACCTGGCTCAGCTCACTGTCAGCAGATGCTGAATGCTGGAGCACTGAGCCCAGCCTGGCCGGAGAGCAGAGCAGGGCTCTGACAGAAGCACAGGGAGGGGGGGAGACAGGGAGAGCAGTTAACCCTTATTAGTCCACAGTTCTGGCCAGCAATGGGCACACTAATTGCCTCCAGAAAATATTTGGCATTAGACTCTTCATGGAGCAAGTCCATGGGACTTTCTTGCCCTCAGCAGTGAAGCTGTTCAGGATTGTTTAAGAGCTGCTGTGTTTAGTTTTGTTGTTTATGGCCCAACAGGTGCTGACTGGCTCACAGAAGGGAGGGAAGAAAAAGTGTGAGAGAATACTCCACATTTTTTTTGAACTGGTCTGGAATTAGCAATCCTTTGAAGCCTGTCAGGAATTATTGAACAGAGCTGTGCAGGTTTCTTGGCTTGCAGTGGCTGTGTAAGAAACTCCAATGGTGTATGGGCTGTGTTGTGGCTGAGGGTTCATGGGAAACTGCTTTCAGCCAGATAAAGAATTGCTTCTGCAATTGGGGCTGCATAGCAGCTGTAGGGAAGCCTTTGTCACGAAAAGGCCTACTTCTGCTGTGTGAGAGTGGGACATGCTGCTTCTGCTCACTGGCTTCTGGGCCTGATGTGTCAGGAGAGGAGAACTGAGATGTCTCTGCACAGACTTTATCTACTCCAAAGGACAACCCTGGAAAGTTGCGTGAAGTAATCTGCAAGGTAAAAAGACAGAATGTTAGGGATGTCTTTTATCTGTTTAAAACTGAAGCTGCTTGTTTGGTGTTTGAACAGAGTGTTTTGCAGCAGCACTTTGCTCTTGCCACCCCGGGTTGAAGATGTATCATTTAAGCCTTGCTAAGCCTAAAAATTCCATGAGGAGAGGGGAAGCATAAAGAGGTCTCAGATTCTGCATAACACAGCCCAAAGAAGACTTAAATTTGCTCATCGATAGGTATAATGGAGAGAAATATTTATAGTGTGTTTACTATTTCTGTAGAATATGGCAGGGTTAATTCTATTTTTTTCAGCGAGAGTTCCCTATAAATGTAGTTGAGCAATGGGCTTGCTGAGCCCATTTGTTTTTTTGTTGTGTTTTTTTTTTTTTTTTTTTTTTTTTTTTACAAAGGGACAGCATGTAGGAATCTTGGTACAGATGCTCCATGATCAGAATGTTGATGCTGTGGTGCTGATGAGGAACTTTGTAAGATGTTTAGACAGCTAGAAAAAGCAGAACTGAAAAGAAAAAAAAAAAACATTCAGACAACAGGATAAAGAACTAATGGAGATGTAAACACAGCCAGAAGCAAACCATTCCCCTGAAAAAAAAAAAAAGAACATGAGAGAAAGGTGCTGTGAAATTATTCAATGACTTCCCTGACTGGGTGTTGTGGAAGAGGGAAATGTAGGTCAGGTGAGGTGCATTGAAACAAGCATGAGAAAGAGTGTTAGCCATAATGTAAGTATGGGGATTGCAGCATATGTTTTGCTTTGGAAGGACTTAAGTGGAAGTGGACAGCAGGGATTGTTAAGGAGTAACTGGTGGTGTTAAGTAGGAGGATCTTGGGAAAAAGCTCAAGAGCAGATGTCTCTGATGTCTGGTAAATCACCAGTAAATACAGGCACAGTAGATGGGTTTATTATGCAAGAGATCAGAAGGGTAAGACACACTGTCTTACCCTTGCAGAGCTTCCATGCTGCTGTCAACATACTCAGAGCATAGGTCAGCTTCCAGGGCAAGCAATGGGCATCTTTCCATTGTTTGTTTTATCTGTTTTAAGCCAAATGCCCAAAGGAGTACTCTGTCTCCTGCTGAATAGTATGAACAGAGCTTTCAGGAGAAAGAGGCTGACAAGGTGATATAGCTATGGAGGTATACCAGTTCCTCAGTAGTTTCTCATGCTTCCCATATATGTGCTTATATGCTTTGCTGGAGCAGGATGTACATTGGTGCATCCAGAGCTTCACTCATATGGTTTCAAAGGAAAAAAACAATATTGTCTACTGGGAAAGTAAGAGGTAGACTTATGGTCTATATAGCTTGAGTGAACTCAGTGGCGTTGCAACAGGGATAAATCAACCACTCATTAAGCATAAAATTGGTACCACAGATTTCTCAATAGGAAAGATTAGTCTACAATGAATCTGTTGTGCTTCAGAGCTGAGGAAATAACTTCAGGAAGGCTGCACAAGAGATCCAATTGTTGTCCTAACCCTGCTGGCCATCAATAAATGCAGGAGATAGCCACTTTTAACATCTAACATGTGAATTATACTCTTTATGTAGTAGCCCTGCTGAAAGATCAGTGATGCTAAAAATGATGGAATTCTGATGGAACAAGAAGTCTAGCTTGAAGCTCTCAAAGACACATCAGGTGTGTATTTCCAGGAAGAGCAGTCCTGGTAAAGGCTCCCACGAGGCAGAGCAGCATCCTGCAGTCCCTGGCAGCTGTTTCCAGCACTTCCTGCCTGCAGCAGGTTACTTTTTCTGTGGATGCTTTACAGAAGGCTGCTCAGAGTGCCTCTAGGAGACAACCTGCCCAGCCTGACCCATGAAGTTTACCATGTCTTTGCATTTGGCACAGGGAGAGAAAACCTCACCACAGGTCTTCCTGGTGAGAAATTGTTCACGCTGCTAGCTTGTCTTTGATCAGGTTGTTTTCATCAGAAAATGCAAGAGATTAAGGTGTCTTGTTTCTTCCCCAGTACAATGCACTGGAGCGTGGTAATAGGGCTGCTTGGGATTCCCACCACAGCCCATCTGCATCAGGCCCTGGCTGTAGCCCAGGCTGCTGCGTACACAGATAGCTTTCTTGTGTTCCCAGCCCTGCCCCAGGAGTTCTATTTCATGAAACTCTGTAAGCACATTAAAAGTGCATGGGGAAATAGAAATCTAATCTTTCAGTTATGAGACAAGTAATGTTCTCCTTTCCTGTTCTTCAGATGCTCACATATGCCTATGTCTTTCAAACATCTGATTCAAAATTGATAGTCTTTTGGCTCTCAGCTACGTACCTGTCTAAAAATACCTCTTTAACTAGCATTAACTCCTGTGTTCATAGTTCTGACTGGAGGCAAGCAGCTATGGGTGTCTGACATTTTTGTACATGTTCTGTATTGGATCTGCAGGGGAAATTATAGCATCTAAATAGCTTTTGCATTTTCCATGGCTGCAAGTAATAATCTTTTCCTCTTGGCAAAAGAATCTCACTTGTCCTGATGGCTATCAGAAGCGTGCAGATTTCTTTAAAAATCTGCTTCCAAGTGGAGGGATTGTCAGAATCACTGCTTGATAGCTACCAGAACTAATAGATCCTTGAGAAGTTAACATACTGCTGGTTAATATTACTGCTCAGAAAATACCTTCTTAGGCATGCAGCTGGGATCCAGAAAGGAGCACACCTTCCTTTGAAACTGTGAGAGAGAAGCCTAAGCAAAAGTCTGGATCTTCAAGCATGGTGAGGTACAATGGTGGGGCAACTGCTTCTATTTCTTTCAGGTTTTGCCAATCCTTGGCAATGCACAAACACTCAGGGGACCGTCTGATAAGGAAAGCCCTGGTCTGTTTCTATTTAGCAGCATTAATAAAGCTGGAAAGACGGGGAACTGCTCCTAGGTGAAAAGTGGACTTGGGATTTTTTTTTTTTTCCTGCAGCAGGAAATGGGTTGTCCCAGCATTGAGTGTTGATTTTACAGGCTAAAGAGTCAGTGGCCTGCCACATTTTGGATCCATAACCCCTGCTTTGGCATGCCTCTGAGTTCTCCATGGGATTATATAGGGGTGATAGCTGTATATGCTGAAATTCCAGATGAGGATTTTTGCTTAGCAGTCACTTTCCAGGGAACAAGATACTGCTACTTTTTTACTTGAAAAAGTAATTTATTTTTTTCCCAGTGATACTGTAGACAGTCTTGAAAGGAAGGTCTTTTATTAAGAAGTTATCTGAAAATATGGAAACATGATTACCCTTCATTATTGTCTCATATTTTAAGTGTGATTGTAACTACTCAGAGGAGTCCAGAGAGAAATATTATATATTGTATATGGGAGAATTTGTGTGCAAGGCTTTGTTCTTGCAGGATGTGATTGCTTCTGATGGTACTATATCCAATTTATTGGGGGAATTCCTTATTTTTGCGTTTCTCCACAAATGCAAATATTGTGCAATAGCAAAATCGGGTCCCCAGCCAGGATTCAGTATTACACTAACAGCTTTGTGAATTAAAAAAGTATTGAAGGTCCTGAGCTGCTATTTTCATTTCCTTTTCCTTTTGCCATTCCCTCAGGCTTTCAGGATTTTAGACTGAGACCTGTCAAATAAGGACTTTTAAAGCGGTTACAAAATTCCCTTCAAGACATTGAAGTAACTGTTTGAGCAGGTATGGAATCATGGTGTGAAGTTGTCAATTCAACCAAGAGCTGCTGAATTGAGGAAGCTACAGAAAGGGAAGGAGTCGTACTGTTGATAATCAGTGCGCTATGTTAATAGGGTAATCCCATATTTTGTTTTTAGCTGTGGTCTTGTTTTTTTTTACATGCCAAAGGATTAATCTCATATAAATCAGACTAATCCGTCCTTACAAACAAGGAACATCCAAGTCTTTTCTGTAACAGGTTCCCAAGTGCTGGTTTAATTCCTCTTAATGACAAGCTGTAGAGCAGCAGGTAATGTTAGCAGCCAGACTCTGCTCTCAAATCAAACACAGTTCTGCTAAATTTCTCTTTTCTGGAGGAAGAGTCCGTGCTTGTCTTTTATTCCAAAAGATTTTTACAAACACTTTCAATCTGGCCGTGAGGCCTTTCATCTCATAGGTACTGGTTTTGTTTTGACCATTTTGCTTTCTTCTTGGGCACCTGGGAGAGCTCCTTCTTCCGCGTACGCATGGGATTTTCTACCTAAAGTGCAGAACCACTTATCAGAAGGATGCAATCATTGGTCTTTGCTCTGTTTGTCCTAAGGGTCTGCAGCAGTTTGCTTTCAAGATCTCCACCCAAGTACCTCGTATAGTGCTGATGGGAAAGCATGATTTTTCCTTCTGGGTCTGTTCTGAGGCAGCCAATAGAGAAGGAGTTAACTGCTGTCCTCTTTTCTGCTGTTCCTGGCTGGAGTTGCTGGCATCCCATCTGGTCCAGGCTGTCCGAGTTCTTCCAGCTGTCTCTGGGGAAGGTACTACAATACCCAGGAATTTTAACAATCCTAAACAGATTGGGGCCACATATGGAGCAAAATGATGAGATTAGAAGAAATCCAATCACATTTGCCGCTCTGGCGTTACGTTTTTAAGCTTTTGGGATCAGGCTTTCTGCTCAATTATGGGTATTTTACATGCAGCAGAGATAAAGTTGTACCGTTTATCTCTGCATCTTGTCCCAATAGGACAAATATCCGTTTTAGTGTTTCATTGTAGGAATGTAATGAATAAGTTAGTGTTACATCTAATTAAATGTGCCACTTTTGTCATAAATTATCATAGCGATGCACTGTTTGTGACAGCCATAGTTATACTGCAGAGGAGAGGGGATACAAAATGTGTACAGAAGGGGAAGAATAATCCCTATGCTGTGTTTATTCTGCTTTGATTATTCTAATGGTTTGGGATTATTTTTTCTTTGCAGCTAAAAGTTGTTAGCTATTTCGTGAGAGCTTAACAGTAAGAGTTTGTCTGTGGAACAGTTTTTTACAAAAATCCATCACTGAGCAAACCCTTGGTGCTCTTTGTGCCATCTGCATCTCTTGATACCATCCTCCTTTGTGAGACTTAACATCCCAGTGTGACTCAGCTTGTTGCAGCAGCCCTGAAATCTTGTTATTTCTCTTACAATCCCTGCCTGAGCACAGAGCACCACTGAGTTTGTTCCAAGGAAGAGTTCTTGTGTAGGAATATCTTTGTTTTTCAGTAGGCTTCATGGGCTTTTATCTGGTGTTGAGCAACACCTACAGAGATGATAGAAGAGAATGGAGGTGGACAGAAGCACACATTCAGTTGCATGGAGAACTGTCCTTGCACCTCCATAGGTACTCTCTAGAGCAGTCTGGTGTCTGTTCTCAGTGCACCTCTGCTGTGTTCTGCTTCAGTGCTCCAGCATCTCAAGTGCTGTGCCTGCCCCAGTCTGTGCTTCAGTCCACCTGCTCCTATGCCTTCTTGCCTGCTGCCCCTTGTTTATTTATTTGTTGTGGGATTGGTAAATGCCTATGCTAGGGCACAGGAACACAGGTCTTTGAAGACCTGTATGTGGAGGGCCTTGTAAAACCAACACAGCCTTTTGTCCAGGGGCAAACCTGAGAGGTCAAAAAATTGTAAAAGGGTCTCTTAAGGAATCTTCTTAGAACTGGCAGATCTGAGTCTGATTGTTTTCCTTCCTGTGGACCAGAAGCTTTGCCTGGGCTGAGTTTTCTGCTTTGAAAAGTTGATGATAAAAATAGTCTTGCTAATTCTTCTCATTACATCTTGGGCATGATGCTAGCTCCTCCAGCAGCCCCTGAAGGAAGCAGTCTGCCAGGCTGCACTAGGATAGCCCAATTGCCACAAAGTGCTCTACCTTGTCTTTGGCACAGGTCTGCAGGAGGAACCTCAGCAAAGGGTGGAACATCTTTGCTGTAGCGTGGCAGGACACCTAAAATGAGGGATTAAGAGTAGTGGCTGGAGCCACCTGATGCTTCAGGGTTTCCAGGAAAGCTGTAAAGTTGCAGTGTTGATTTACTTTGAAAAACATGACTGCTTTAAATTTACAAGCTATTTTATGGACTGGTTAATTTTTCATGGGGGAAGGATAAAAAAGACGCTGGAGAGGAGCTCAGAATATGGGCTATTTACACTTGATTTATAAATTATGAACTTGCAAGCTGATACTTTATGGTGCTTGGTATGATTTCATAATGAAATCAAATGTATCATTCTGCTTCTGTGTGGGCTCTGGCACAACATTAAAATTTCTGGCCCCAGGCAGTTACTGACAGCAGTGGCTAGAGCACGGGTTGGCCCATAGCTGATAGAGGGTTTTCATTTGCAGTGCCCTCAGCTCATTTTCCTTATGTTCCTGCTTTCCCATGTTGAATATCTGACTCCCATGTTACCCTACTGTGACTCCACCAAATTCTGCTGTGAGATTTCTGCAATACAGGATAGAACTAGGGAAATCTGAAAAAGCACTAGTGGCACATTCATTCATATTATACAAGGTACTCAGGAAAGGGGTAAGAGATATTGCCCTTTTTGAGCCTCTGCTGTATTCAAATAACACCCAGTCTCCAGGAAAAACTCCTGCTTGGGCCTCTGAGGAGTTCTGTAACTGGGCAAGAAGCAGAGGTGGCACTGTGAGGACAGAAGTGCAGAGGATCTGGGGAAATCGCAGTCTTACATGTGCTTATTGGGACTGGATTTGCACTGAATTAGATGCAAATGTGTGCAAAGAGCAGCCACAAGCTCACCTGGGATAAATTTGGTATTCTCCCTTTACTGACACTGCTGCTATGTATTAGATTCAGACTGCTTTAAAATACTGTTTCTAACATTAGATTAGCTCTGGCATTGTCCAGCATTTCAGATTTATTCCTGACACTGGCCTTATTTATTTTACCACTTGGCCAGTGGCCATTTCTCACTAGGTCTTGCCTTTAGGTTTCAGCATGAATAAAATCTCGCTGCCTTGTTAGTGCTGTCAGTGCTCAACTTCCTAGGAAGCTGCTCGGAGCAGGAGCTGCCTATTAGCCAGCCCTGTAAGCAACGGCCTGCACTGCTGGCCCTGCTCACTGTCAGCCCTGCAGCTCTGCTGGGACCCATGGCCAGCAGTAGAGTCCTTTGCATCCATAGGTCTGAAAGTTCCTGCTACTCCCAGTGCAATGCTCTGTAAAGATCTCGAAGCTTGGAGTAACCTACAGCCCTTGCCTTCCAGTTGTCTCACATGTTGTTGTGATGGTCCCTTATCAGGGAGCTGGGGTGGCCAGGCCAGCCCAGCCACAGGGCAGGTGGCTGTCTTGTTGTGTGGCTTCCAAGTCACCTTCACCTTCAGCTACTTCCTGCTCCTGTTGGAGGATCTTTAGAGGATTCTGGTATTGACAAACCATTTCAGGCTGAATACTCCTCAGAAGAGGAGAACATCCTGAAAAACAGGATGTGAAAGAGGAGCTGTCATTTGGAATCTCTGAACTTCCCTCCTCTCTGTGAGTTTCTGTGGGCTTCGGTTTATGTTGTGTTTTTTTTCCCTACACAGATTATCTCTTGTCTTGGGTCAGATTTGATTTTACTTGGTGTCAGTATGAGAACTGATGTTAGGAAGAAGTTGCCTAATGTGCTATTGCAAAAACCTCAGTCTCTGTAGGTGCATCTGGATGTCTCAATTTGCATCTTTTGGTAATTCATTTGAGCATCAGTTAGAAATAACTTGTTATTGGATCTCACTAGATTTAAGATGTGTTGCCCATCAGTGTGGTCTACCTGTGTGACAGGAAGCAAAAGCATTGGATTTTTGACCTTTCCTGTCTTAAGACCCTCAACACAGCCTCTTCAAAATGGAGTGCTGCTTCTCACACAAGCTGCTGTGGACCCTGGCTGTTGTGTTATATACAACTCAGTGAGTGAGGAGAGGTAGGGGTCACCTCTGGCCCTTCAGCAGGGAGAAACACAAACTTCCTTGCTCTGAGGACATAGGTCTTGGATGGGGCAGAGGGGTGCCCATTCCCAGAGGATCCAGCCAGCAGGAAGGGGTCATGCTTTTCACCTTTCCCTTTGGCATGGTATGAAGTTGGACTCTCTTGGGCTGGAGGCTGCAGAGTTGGGATGCAATTGCTTCGTATTCACCTCCACAAATATGAGGCTAGAGGGTTGTAGGTGAAAGGCATCGTTTGAAGACATGCTGGGCCGCAGGGCAAACAGCAGACAACTGCTGATCTTGTGGAGGCAGAAGGGAGCAGAGCCTGGAAAGGCATATTCAGAGGAGTCGATATGGCAGGGTCAGGAGATGACCCTTCCCAACACTACTTGCCTGTTCCCATTCAAATGCAGCTAGGTGCAGGGCAATAAGGCTGCTGCTCCAGATGGTGAGGAGTACTGCTCCAGATGGCAGGGGCAGCATGTGCATTATCTGCCCCTGCAACACAGGCAGGAGCAGGGGGAGAGAGGAGCTGCTGGCTGAGGAGCAGAGAAAGTGAGCTGGTGAGTAGGGACTAGGAGATAGGCAGAAAGAATAGGAAAGGCCACCTTATTTAGCACTAGACTGGATTCTGTTGGATGTAGGGAGCTCTTCTCCTCTTGTTGTCACAATGTAGGTTTCTTGGATTTTCTTGGCTGTAGCAATACATGTGGATGTGCTTCCAGATCTGTTAGCTTCCACAACTTGGTAGGCATGGGCCAGTGGATAAAAACATGTTCTGTCCTCACTTTGTTCTTGGGATCAGTTTGTCTGTACAGTCATCAAGATTAAGGTTTCTGATTTATGTCAATGATCCCCTTTTCACAGGGGAATTGGGGGACGATCACTTAAGGAGTACTTTTAGTAAGGAGAAATGAGCCACTGGGAAACCAAACACTGATAAATGCCTGCTCTGGGAAAACACACTTCTAAATGAGACTAATCCCAGATCTGTTGTCAAAGAAGCAATATAGGAACATTCCTAAAGGAATGAATCCTTCATAATCATCTCTGAGCATTTTTATGACGCTAGCTTAGTGATTGCACTGCTGGAAGCAGGGAATTCCTGTTAATTGATTAAAATGTGCTTTTTTTTCCACTGTATTATGCACCTGACTTAATTATCTGAGGGAGAAAGATAAATCATTTTGGTTCAGAGAAAGATGCTAAAAGACAATTTGGAGAGAAAATTGGGGAAGGAAAGTAGACTTTCCTCAAAAGATCTACTCAGAAATATGAAGCAGATTGCCAGAAAAAAAAAAGTGCATTGAAAGGAATAATGTCTGTCGCATCGTATTTCAACTATAGGACCGCAAGGAAATGAAATTCACCTTCGCACTCCAACGTGACAGTCTGATCCAGCCATAGAAGGGATGGGGAATGCAGGCTGTACTCACGAAAACACTAAGGAAACTCAGCAGTGTAAGTGGTCAAGAGAAATGAGACATTCTTTGAGCCAAGTTGGCTTTATTCCTGGTCTTTATAAACCCACATAAAAGCTCTCTGGAGTTTAAAGTGACTATCATGTTAGTTCTGTTGTGCTCTTAAGAACAAAGTCCTTTCAAAGGTGTTCTGTTTTGTTTTCCAAAATATGTCACATCTTTCTGGAGTGAATCCTTTCTTCCTTTATTTGCAACAACTGTGAAAATGTCCAAGGGTCACAGCCTGCAAGCACTCCTTGTGAACAAATTAATTACCCAGGCTTCTCCCAGAGAGGTTATGGAGAGGGGTAAGTAGTCAGGAAGCTGAGCCTTTGGCCCGGAGAACCCATTCCGTCTTGGAAAGGCACTAATAATGCAATTAAAAAAGCCAGTAACGGAACCAATACCACAGACAGCACAGTTAAGCAGGGGGTGGACCTGTGAGATAGAAAAACCACACAATTTCTTCATCTCTACCCTAGCAGCTTAATACACAAAAGAGGCTGATAAATCTGGCAGCCTGTCCACATATTTTCCACTTACTGAAATGAAATGTGTGTGACTGTTTCTCCAAGCTGCCTCGGGAGTATCTACCTATTCAGTTTCAACGTAAGATACTTCCCTGAGATTTTCCACTCCTCAAAAAAACTGTTTTCCATGCCAGCAGCTGCCACAGGAGTATCTGAGACTGCAGCTACCCCCAGTACTTGGAAAGCCTGAGAAACAGGCATCCACATGCATGCTGCAGTGCAGAGGTGCAAGACAAAGGGGTGAGTGACCACATGCAGGCTGCTCACAGCACTGTGTTCTCCACATGGCCCTATCCCACAGGACAAGTGCTTTCACAGGAGGCTGAACCTGGCCTAGGGGAGTGGCTTTGTTCTTCCTGGCTGGGAGTGCCTAAAAGCTGTGTAGGAAAAGCAGAGGTGCAGATTGTATTAGTTCTCAGAGAAGGAGACAGCTGTGCTAAGTTGGTGAAAAACCTGCTCCCTGTGATCTTGTTCTATAAACCATGCTGCAGGGTATTCTTTGATGATTAAGAGTAGCTCATCTCACTGAGCACTCCTGCCAGCTGGTGGCCTGCACTCTGTGTCTACTTTCCTTCCAGTTAAACAGAGAATAGAGTGGAAGGTGGTAAGGAAAAGTGTCAGAAGCTGCTGGGAAGGATAGGTTGAATGTGAAATGGGGCTTGCAGGATGTGCTGAGAACTCTTTGGTGTAAAGTCAGCAACATCAGCCAAGCTGTTGCAGATCCAGAGTTTGGAAGCTGTTGTGTTCAGTCTACATCAACTAAAAGAACCTAAGTGAAGGAAGTGCCCTCCCTGTATTACAAAAGCAGCAGCATGTATCAGCTTTTGAAGATGCAGGAACAAAGGCTTCAAGTCACAAATGCTTCTAAGGTTCTGTTATAGACCTCTGTTTTGGCTTTTGTTGCTGATGGTGTTTTATTTATTAAAGAGAGATACGCCTGCTTTCTCCTTGAAGTCTTCTTCCATGGGCAGTGGGGGATGAAAACTGGAGTAGCAGACTGTTAGCTGGTAAAACAGAGATTAAGTCAACTAACACAGATGTCAGATGTTGTGAAATTGCCTTTGAGCTCAGTATCTTATTCTTCCTCTTTCCCATTCTTTTAATGTGTTTCCAGCACACTCAGTTCCATTTCGTGCCCATCACCTAGAGACTTTGCATTGCTTTGACCATGCTTTGGTGGGCCCTGTACCTCAGATGTGAGAACGCAGCCTCAGTCAGTTCTGACCAGAATTCCCTGAAATGCAATTTGTGAAGATGACATTTCTCCATGGAGAACATTCAGTATAATGCTGTGGTTTCCAGTTTTCTCCCTTTTTGTAATTTTGTATCCACTATTAACTCAGTCTATCATTCTGGGCAGGTGTGTGATTTTGGTCTGTCTGTTCTGTTTGGTGGGAAATGCAATACTTTTGCCTTCTTACTAAATCCTGTGTCAGGAAGATAAAAGAAAGTTTGAGAAATACTTGTAAACCCTGGCAAGAAACACAAACCGTTATAGGTGCCAGAATTGGAAAACAATGTAATAACCATCTGGAAATAATAGTAATAGTTTCACAGCAACATAAAAGCATAACTTATAGTATTCATAGATTGGCTGAGTCTACTTGTGTTTTCTCTTTGTAAAAATACCAATTTTTGAAACATATGTAAAGAAGTTAGGCTGCAATTGGACAGATTGTGCTACCCCTGAAAATTTTGCCATCAAACACATCTTGAAAAGCTGATTGATAACTCTCATGAGGTGACATTACCTCTATTTCTGTCTGCCAACAATGGAGAGAAGGCATCTGTGAGACATGGTATATCAGCTTCTGAATTGTGTTGTGTTCTACCTAGAATTCCTGCAGCGCAAGCCTGCACTGTCTTTGACCTTGAGACTAAGACAGCATGTACTCATGCTACTTCTGGCAGGAGGTGATCAGCCTTAGCCCTGATGGCCCTTTACATCAGCCTCTGGTGGGGCTTTGGGATGGGCAGGCTATGAGGAGGACTTTCCTGGCTGACATACAAGCCTTAGATGTAGCCCTGTGACCCAAGGTGAGGAGAGATCTTTCTGGGGAGAAGGCCCAAACTGTGGTGGCTGTGAGTGCACTGCACTGTGAGCCCTGGTGTAGGATGTGTGCTGTTTCACTGTGCAGACTGCCTTTGTGCTCAATATGAACTTTTAGAACTGTAATGGTAAATAAATACTATGAGCAGATCTACTCACTGTATCACCTTCAATTACTTTTTAATGTAAAAACACTTTTCTATATGCATATTTCTTCAGAAAGAACACTTTCCTATCTTCCATGCCAATGGGTGGCACCATTTCTGGTCCCGCAGTGTGAACACTCAGCAGAATTCTTTGCAGCTGGAGTTCTCTTAGGTTGAGTCCTTTGAGTCTTAGAGGCATCCCTTTGACACTGAGTGGGACAGATGAACACCTTCCATGTGGGAAATCTCTTCAAAGTAAAACAGGTCTTTTAACTAAAACAGAAGAGAAAGGCATATAGATTCTTTGGACGTTGGCAGAACTACTTGATGACGTATTGATACCTCCAACCTGTCATTCAAAAGATTTGAGCCTACTTTCTTGCCTCAACTTCTGTGTCTTTGAATTTGAGGAGGAAGAGGTGTCCTTATAGGTCTCCCACTAACCAAAGGACAGTATACCCAACAGCATGACTCTTGTGACTCCCTGCCATAGGTATGAAAAAGATGAAACCTTTACTAATGGGAATTTAATTTATATGTGACCTTGAAAGGAGCAGTGATAGACATGTTATCATTATTGAAAACAAGAATAAATGTAATAGAATTAAATAACAACGTTTGGAGCTTAAAGAGAGATATCAGCTCCACCCAGGCATTCCTGAAAAACACATGTAATATGCAACATATGCAATAACACTGAGCAATTCAGGGAGGAATTCTTCTTTTTTTTTTTTGTCCCCAGCTGTGAGGCCTTTGAGAAGTATGCTATCCTTTCCTCTGAGAACAAAAATTCCTCTCTTTAGACCGGAAGGAGAACTTGCATCAGTCTTGAGAGTTCAAGTATGTGAGTACACAGCTCCTGCTACATTTGAGTTGACTGTTTCCTGTTTGCAGATCATGACCCTCTTGTCCTTTGTACATTGCTAAATGGAGCAGGGTGGGGTGAGCATCTAGCTGGGACCCAGTGCACTGACAATGGCTCACTTTTGTGGAGAGTCACAAGGAAAAGTTGAGTCACTGACCTCATTTTTTATAACCGAGCAGACTAAATAGGAGGAAAGACTGTTTCCTTAAGACTGATACTTACATGTATGTGCACTCTGAAATGAATGATAATCAGTTAATCTACCTATAGTTTGTTTCAGGATGTTTTTTAATGTTATCTGAGGTAGTGTTATTTGAGTTGGGCTGGTTGAAAGATTTGTACTGCACAGCTTGTCAGCATGTTGTTGGGAGTCCATTTAAGTTTTTGTCATTTATTCTCTTACTGATTCACTTTTACACCATACTGCCATCATCCAAAAGCCAGAGGATGCCAAACAGAGACTTCCTTGGTTCCCTGACCTGCACTGAGATCCTGAATTTCTTTGCTGTGTTCTTCCAGGCAGGTCCTTAGGTATTAGGTCTTTTTTCATACCTCAGGTGAGCAAGCTGATCACAAGTATGATGCTCATCTTGGGCACCTTGATTGCACATTGACATTGCATTGTGAAGTCTTAAATTCATGCTGTATGCTCTCAATGGAGATTTTCAACTCTGGGTGACTTTGGGATCTACTAATACAACTGACAGTCATGATTGTCTTATGTGAAATGGTATAAGTCTAACTCTCCAGGTGAAAGGTCTCATTCTCTATTTCTCATTATAATCAGGTTTTGGTTCTTTTGGTGGGGAGAGTATACAAATGCCTCACCAGCACAGTGAGAGGCTGTGTACAACTTGCTGCCACACTAAGAACTGAGAAGGGCACCAGGCAGTTTGTGGAGACTGAATGGAAATCTTTCCTGCTTTGAGAAATCTGAAAGGATCACCTTGTATACACACTTTAAATAGTTTTGAAAGCACTTTATAAAAACTGAAATTATGCAGTCTTACTGCATTAAGAAAAAACTAAGTAACTGTACCATTTACACACTGCATGAAATGGAACTGCTTTACAAAGCAGCTTCTTCCTGGTAGCATGGGAGAAGAATTGCTGTTGTCTTGCAGTATCTATTGACATTATATTTGTCACGTCTTTATTTCTGGTGGCTGCTCCATGGATGAACTCAAGAGATCTCTCTGCAGTGCTGCCAATCAATAATTTTCATCAACATTCATCTAATTTTCAGGGTAGAGAACAACAACCCTGCACCAAGAGGTAAGAACAAGTCAATGTCTGAAACAGCTTGGCATATTTTGATATTATCTCTCATTGCTGTTCTGAGATTCTTCTTGTGCTGGCTTGGAGCTGGCTCCAGGGTTTGTACAACCATCTGCAGCAGCAGGAAGAGGCCATTTGAGGCTGGCACAGGTTTTCCTGCCTCCAGGAAAGCTAGTAGAGCTGATCCTGGCCTACAACTGCAACATTCTTTGCTCTGGCAATAAGCCAGGTGCTGTTTGGAAGTATTGCACACAGCTTTGAGAGCTGTTGATGTGGAGAGAGGTCAAATGAGGCTCTATAGTATATTCCACAGCAGCTAGCAGCTGATTCCATGCATTTCAGCTGCTGTGGTCAACTTGTGGTCTGACTCCTCTGAATGGCAAAGAGGAAGTGGGTGGTGCTTCTGTGTGCTCAGTTTCTCATTGCTGGCAGCCTGTTAGCCAGCAAACTGTTGGATTCCAGGTTGACAGCTGAGGGAAAAATAGGAGTGTAACAATTACTTAGGCAAGCAAGAAAACAAAACGCAAATATGCAGTTTGACTTTCATGGCTACGGCTGTATGGGGCTCTCCTCCAGTTCAGACGTGATCAGATCAGAAGCAATCTGGCAATTAAATTTAACAGTCAGCTTGCTGGATTACATCAGCTGACAGCAGTGTTACAGGGACAGTGCACAAACCAGGCAAGCAGGGGTCTTGCAAGTGGGTTTGAGTTACTTGATAAGTGCTCAGCAAGATTCTCTGTTTGGTTTTCTGAATCTTCTTCCTGAATTGCCTTACTGTGTTGGCTGTATGCTGCTTATTTTGGGTGTGTATTTGGTAACTGAAAATGAAAGGCCAGAACCTTGACATTTAAGTGAAGGCAGATGCCCCTTTCACTTGGTGCCTTTGAAAATTTTCTTATAGTGGGATAATGTTTCTGCATGGAGTTATTCAGTGTTATTTGGAGGAAGGGAGGAAAACACTCTCATATAACACAAACAGCACTGACTACAATAACACCTTTGATTTAGGAACCAGATTCTTCAGTTCTTTCTCCTTACTCTTTCCTTTCAGGCTTGTTCAGACAGCCTCAGGGTTGCCCCTATAACTTTGCAGTTGTGTTGATGTTTTTGTTTTGTTTAGAAGATACTTACATCAGTGAACACCACAGTCACAGAAATATTTGCAATTCAAATATAATGGGGTGGATATTCATATCAAGTGCTTACACATTCATCTCTCATGAGAACTAACATCATGCAGCCTATCTGAACCATCCCAAACAATCAAATTGCCTTAATCAGTAATAACTGCATAATTTTCTGCTGTGGTTCTTAATTAAAGGATAAATGTTGGAAAGAAGATCTCACAAAGGCTGTGGGGAGAAGTGCTGCAGAGGAAGGATAGCGCAGAGCTGATGGAGCATCTGCTCTGGGTGTAGAGTGTGGCTTCCTTGGTGCTGCTGTGCAAATGCAGGATTGTGCTTCCAAATGTTTTATTCACTGTGTCATGATAATTTCTGTTGTTTCTTCTTTTAATTGCGTTAAGCAATAAGTCACACATGCTGTAAATAATGAATTAACTTCAGTTATCATGTGGATGGAGTTTGTCCTAGATGTCTAAGGCAGGATGTGTATGTAGAGCTCTGCTCTCTGATTTTGGAGGGAGTCTATTTTGAAACAGAGTGCTGGTGTAGGGTACATGAGAGGTGCCAAAAGAAACATGCAACTCAGATAAAAAGAAAAATAATGCTGCCAAAGCAGCCAGGCTGCAGCCTTCCAACTCCGGTGGCCTGAGAGGAGCTGGGAGGAACAGGCTGTTATTGGGCTTGGGCTGCAGCCCTTCCCGCCAGCCCTCCTGGCTCTGCAGGAGGAGAACATGCTGTGTTGCTTCCAGTATGTCTGTCTCATCCTTCTGCCAGCTGTACTGCAGCCCTGAGCCCTGCTCCTGTGAACCTCGTCTGTGACTCCAGGAGAGTGATGGAGACTGACTGCAGACACAGGTAACTGCAGAGGTTACAGTCAGTGACTACAGGAAAAAGCAAAGAGCTTTTTTGTGCGTTTCATGGATCATGTCCTGTTTCTCTGCCAACTGAAGTTTCCCAAGTCCTGATGCCCCTGGTGTTTTATTCCACTT